TCTATTCTATTCTATTCTATTCTATTCTATTCTATTCTATTCTATTCTATTCTATTCTATTCTATTCCATTCTATTCCATTCCATTCCATTCCATTCCATATTCTATTCTATTCCATTCTATTCTCTATTCTATTTTCCATTCCATTCCATTCCATTCTCCTATTCTATTCTATTCTATTCTATTCTATTCTATTCTATTCTATTCCATTCCATTCCATTCCATTCCATTCCATTCTCTATTCTATTTTCCATTCCATTCCATTCTATTCTCTATTCTATTTTCCATTCCATTCCATTCCATTCCATTCCATTCCATTCCATTCTCTATTCTATTCTATTCTATTCTATTCTATTCTATTCTATTCTATTCTAGTCTACTCTATTCCATTCCATTCCATTCCATTCTATTCTGTATTCATCTTCTCTTCTTCTATATTCCTCTTCTCTTTCCTATTCTATTCTGTTTTGTTCTACTGTATTTTCTACTCTATTCTACTCCGTTCTGTTCCATTTTATTCTGTTCGGCTTCCTGCTTGAGCAGGGCACGAGAATAGAATAGAACAGAAAGGGACCTTGGAGGTCTTCTAGTCCAACCCTCTGCTTAGCCAGGAAACCCGAGACCACTTCAGACAAATGGTTGTCCAATCTCCTCTTAAAAACTCCCAGTGTTGGAGCATTCACAACTTTTGGAGGCAAGCTGTTCCACTGATTGTTCTAAATGTAAGGACATTTCTCCTGAGCTTAATTTTTACCCATGGATTCTGGAGTGGGCGGGATCTTCATTAGGGCTTATTTTTCGGGGGAGTATGGCTTAGATTGGGTGCAGATGTAAAAATTAAGCTAGGACTTTCAGGGTAGGTCATATTTTCGGGGAAACAGGGTAATGGCTTGGATACTCTAATCTATGAAGAGATTGTTTCAATATATTTCAGTGCTCCAAATTAGGAAGAAATTTAGAAAAGAAAAGCTTATGTATTAGCTATTGACTAGGGTATTTTCTGACTGGCAGCTAATTTCGCGAGGATTTCTTCATGTCAGGCAGCCTCCTCACATCCTCAGCCTCTGGCTACATACAGTTTGCTAAGTGAGCCTTACCTTTCGACCACGTTGACGGACAGCTTGTTGCAGAGTCGATGCACATACTGAGCATAATGCTCAACCAGGCAGACGTCATAGCCCGTCATCACGATGTTTAAGGTGCCATACTGGTGTTCTGTGCCGGGGTCAATTTCCTTCATCTCCACATGATTCTTCCTTTTAGGAGGGGCCTGGGGAAAATGACAGCGGGGTTCATTGGCGGTTTATTAAATTGATACAGGTAGCCTTCGACTTATAGTTCATTATGAGCTGCGGTGGCGCAGTGGTTAGAATGCAGGACGGCCGCCTGCTTCTGCTGCCTGACATCTGCTTCCGGTTGGGCAGTTCGAATCTCACCAGGCTCAAGGTTGACTTGTCCTTCCGTCCTTCTGAGGTCGGTAAAATGAGGACCCAGATTGTTGGGGG